AAATATATTTTTTTTAAATGTAATTATTTAAAAACTGAAAAAAATCTTTCTAAAATATCCCAAAATTCCAAGAATTTTTTTTCCTTAAAATCTCAGGGCATAATCTGTTCGGCTTGTGAAGTCAATTCAGAATTTCACAACCGAATGCAAATTTAATTTTTTGTTACTCTTCTCTTCTTTTTATTAAGAGAGTTTTTTCCCGCACATTTGCTAATGACGCGCTTCAGTACTCATTTAAAGCCGACCAAGAAGACAACAAACTGCTGTTCGTTCCGTGCAAAGAAATTCATGTTTTAAACATAAAGAAAGGAATGGAAGAAGAACTGATTCGCCTTAATCAAATCTGTTTGGAAGATGAAAACGTCAACTGCTGACGAGCCTTCCGTAGAAGAAAATTTTTTCGATTTAAATATATATCTTGGAGAACACTGTCACAATCTAATCAAAATATTGGATCGTTCGGTGTTTAAAGAATTATCCACTCGAAGACTGCTGGCCTTCAATCACTTTCGGGAAAAGTGTTTTTATCATCGCAAATGGTTGGATCTGATCTTCTGGGTGGCCCAGATATATAAGCGGGAAATTGAATTCTTTGTTGGTGATCAAATGGACTTGGATGTCATCTATCTGTACAAGAATCCAGCGGATTTTTTCTTATCCCTAAATAAACCCGAAACGGAGGCTTTACAAATCGTTGTCATAGATGCGAGGCAACATGTGCAAGAGTGTAATGAGAAGAGTTTACAGAATCTGCAGCTTGTTTGCAAGTCTCTAACAGAGGAGAAATTGTTTCCATCCCAGCCTCCAAGGGAGATAAGAAATAAAGATACGTTTTTAAAGATTTGTGTCCACAACAATTACCAACAATTGGTGGCCGATTCAAAAGAGAATATTTTACTTATCATCGAACTACAAGATTTCGCTGAACCGTACAATGGTCGGGGTTACAATTATGAAGAAATTGCCCGAGAGTGTGCCGAATATGGAATCGAAGCATAGTATCTAAATGGCCTGCGAAATTATGTACTCTTTGAGTTCAGTGGCTATCGTTATCCCCAGCTGATTTATATACCCCACGATGAGAAGGAGAATTTCCTGTATTACAGCGGAAGAAGTTATAAAACGGAAAAAGTCATTGCCTTCGTGAAGGACAACATGGGTCAGGAAGGGCGAAAACTACGACACAGTTTGCTAGCAAAAACCAGGAATGGACAAAAATACCACAAAGCAACATTCGGGCAGCGAGTGGCGGTTTCATTGGCCGTTTAAAGGCCATAATTCGTGCCAAAGGTGACCAATTCGAACAAATCTAAACTTATTCTAAAATTTGATGCTATTTCCGACATTTTTTTGCTTTCATTCAATAAAATTAAAAAAAAAAAATAAAAATTATTGCGTTTGACTTTGTTGCAGTTTTTTTAATCTCACCCTGTATATATGCCTAGTAATTGAAAGCAAAAGTAAAAAAATTGAATATAACTCTGAAAACTACAGGGCAGCATGTTGCGCCCCCTCCCCATTGCATTAACATTACATAACATTAGTTTATGTTAAAATAAATTAAACGTAATCATTTTATCTCATATTTATGATGATATTCCAAAACTTCATTCTTTCTTTTCTTTCATTATTTTTAAACCTGCAGGAGGTATCGAATTTTAAACCAATTCTAGTTATCCTTCATAAAAAAAAACTTTAGGTACTTTACATTTCTAATCCAAATATCACATTCTCTATTATGCCATGACTTTATGAAAGGAAACATTGTTCTGAAATAATCACTTTTTGTTGGTTTTTTTTACAGCTCTGTTATGGCTATCTTTCAGTGTCATTTGTAGTGACATTTCGATAAATCATAAAGTGACAAAATGTAAAATATCTACCCTACTTCCAATTGTCTCTAGGAATTCAACTCAAATAAAACAAATTGAATGGTCTTTCAAAAATAACTAAAAGCCTTTTATTTGCAAAGGCACACAAAAGCCAAAAACAACAAAAAATATGAAAATAAACCATAGAATTATAATAAAATTTTCACACAGGCGGCAAAGTACGAGTGGAACCAAATAACAAAGAGCGAATTTTATAAAGCCTTTATATGCAAATGAAGTCGGCAAATATATATAATACACACAGAGAGAAACACAAACAACTGACAGCCACTAAAACCTGGAAGTCTGGCCAGAAGCCGTGTAAAAGGCTAGCGTTATATATTTTTAGGCTATACAGATGAGACTCTTGCAATGCGTTTCATGACAAATATTTCAAATAGTTTATAAAAGTAGAACCAAATATAGAAGACACGCACATAGGCGTTTAAAAATTTACATTGCAAAGTAACCTTAATAGAGTAAAGAACGAGGACCATCTCTTCAATATTTTTTTTTTAATTTTTTTGATAAAAATTCCCTGGAATCCATGAATTTTAGGTGTATAGTGTTCTCGTCAATATTACGGATAATGACAAACTCCTTTTAAATATTAACAAGAAAAAAAAGGTGTAATTTCGGCCAGGCCGAACCTTGAATGCCATCCACCATTTGGAACGAATTTGACAATTTTCAAAAGATAAAAACCGTTAAAAATAAGACGACGTAGAAATACATAGGCAACTTTTATCATAATATTCGAATGCGAAACTTGAAAAAAATTGGTGATAATGTAGCTAAAATCATCAAAATACAGCATATAGGGAGGTACCATTATATGGGTGCTATACCAGAACGTGAACCTGCAATGACAATTTTCTGTCATAGGCTGTAGCATAAAATATGAACTTCAAATACCAAATTTGAAACAATTTCGGTGGATAATGTCCCTAAAATCATCAAAATACGGAATATCACGACATGCTGTTATATGGGGGCTATACAATTTTCTGTATTAGGCTGTAGTATTGATTACGAACTTCAAATACCAAATTTGAAACAATTCCAGTGAATAATGTCGCAAAAATCATCGAAATACCGAATATCGGGAAGTACCGTTATATGGCGGCTATACGAAAACGTGGACCGATATATCTCATTTTCAATACCAACCATCCTAGACAGATTGTTCTGCCAAATTTTGAAGAAAGAAAGACGGACAGACAGATAGACGAACATCATTAAATCGACTTAGAATTTTATGATGTGTTCTTCATGTTTTTTTTTTTTTTTTTTTTTGGTAATCCACTTGCACAATTTGTTGTTGTTTCAAAGTTTTATGTATTATTCAAGTTTTTCGTTTTTCGGGAAGAATAAAAGGAAAATGTTTACTTCTTACACCAAAAATTCTTCAAAATTTTTCATTTTAAAGTTTACCGAGGAGGATATTAGTAAAACCATTGAAAAATGGACCCACATCAAATTTTTCTGTCTATAACTATTTCAATGTCTCCATATGTACATACTAGAAACCAACAGAGACATCAATATCACATTTCCGAATTTAAGCTCCATCACTTTACCCAATACCAAATTTCGTCCACATATATGAAACAATATAGAAATTTGCATCCTAGACACCAAGAGTGATCCAAAAATAGTACCATTTACTATTTTTTTAAAAAAATATTGGACACATTTCCAGGCCACCGCCAGATACCAACAGAGACCAATATCAAATTTCGGGATTCCAGCTCTAAACATTCACGCGATACGAAATTCAAGTTGTACCAAATATAGTGCTATTTAGTACTTTTAGTACACATATCCAAAACCACATACTTATACTAACAGGGACAAATACAAAATTTTAAAATGTCAGCTTCATCCGTTCACCCTCAACCAAACTGTTTCAAATATAGTACCATTTAATACAGTTGGCACACTTAGTAAATATTTCCTCAACCACCTTAATATATGAAGCTTACTTTCCAACCTTGATTCTCGTACCAAATTTCATTTCAATTTTAACTTTATTCGTTCACATAATACCAAATGGTACCATTTGACAATTTCCAAAACCCCTTTGGAACATCTAGCTCAATCCGTTTATACAATACAAAATATTCAATATTTAGTACATTTTAGCACTTTTCGTATCCTTATATTAGGAAATTCTCCAGCCTTATCACAAGCATACGCATCAAGACTGGCCCTAGTGTAAATTTCAAGATTCTAGCTTCAGCCCTTTCGGCTGGGCGTTAATTCTCCATCAGTCAATCAGTTATTTTACTTCTCTTTCATATTAATAAAATAATTTAATAATATAATTAATAACTCAAATATAGGTTTTTACAAGCTATGCGAAAACGTGGATCCCTACAGCCAATTATCAGCCAGGGAACGCGGTGCCTATTACGAAGTCCAAACACCAAATTTGAGTTAATTCTGTTTTTAAAAAATGTAGCTAATATCGTCAAAATATCGAATATTAGAAGGTACCGTTATATAGGATTATACGAAGGGGTGGATTCGTACAGGCGATGTTATCTGATAGAATGCAGTACCCATTGCGAACTCTAAATTCCGAATTTAAAATAATTATGGTGAAAAGTGTGGCTAAAGTAATAAAAATAACGAATACAGAGAGGTACCGTTGATTGGGAGTTGTACGAAAATGTGGTATTCTATAGATAATTAGTACATACATACATACTCCAAATACCAAGTTTAAGATAATTCTGTTGAAAAAATCCTTAAAACAATGAATATTGGGAGGTACAGTTATGTGGGGGCTATATGAAGATGTGGACCTGTATAGAAAATTTTCTGAGATAGGAGGTGGTAACACTCACGAACTCCAAATGCCAAATTTGAAATAATTCCAGTAAAAAGTGTGACACAAATGATCAAAATAGCATATATCTGAATGTACAGTTACATGAGGACTATACTCTTGACTTTAGTTATCGTCAGGTCATTTGCTATATTTTCCAATCAAATATATTAAAATTTAAACAATATTCCACATTCACTTAGTTTTATCTTTATACAATTTTTTGGGGTTTTGCGACAAAGACAAACGGGCGGCATTTAAACAAAAACGAAAACAGAACAAAAAAGGAGTCTTACCTTTTTAATATAAAATACACAACAACTCAAAGCGGCGCATATATCCTGGAGTTAATATTGCTGAGTGACGATGATGTTGAATAGCTGGCCGGCTGACTGGCTAGGGGCTTGTTTGGTTGTTTGGTTTTTACGGCGCTATGCTTTATTCGAAGCCAAAAACAGCGAGTGATACAAAAATCCTTTTTTACCCAAAAAAGTGGACAAAATATTAAAGGATTTCAAAAATTATAATGGAAGGCCATTCTTATTCCCTTGACGGTTTGTTTGTTAGGTATCTTCAAAACGCTGCGCTCAAACACACACACAGCGACACAAGGGCTAATGAAACAAATTTGAAGGTATTAATCCCAGGCCGTGAAGAATGCAAAGATACTTGCTGGCAAACAGATGAGGAGAGGAGGGATATATTTCGTCGTTGGCTGCTTCCACTGCTCGGTGACTCGGAATTTGTATGAGAGTCTGTTGATTCGCTTGGTACGGCGTTCGTGTCGATGGAGGATTCTTCTTTTGGTTGATTCACCTTTTGTTTGTTAGCCAAAAAGGATGTAGGACGTTGATAAAATTGCGTTACAACACCGACTGAGTAGTAAAGTACACTTTACAAGTTGTTTTTATTTTTGTTGGTTATTTTACACTTTTTGTACACTTTTCGCTTGTGTTGAACGAACTGAGTAGCTGGCTGGCTGGTTTGGTTTGGTTGCTTGCTTGTCATATTTTTTGGACTAAAGACCACCGCATAACAACATTTTATATATACATATATAAACACTCAAAAACGCATACATTCATACATACGACGGCATGTAAATATTTGCTTTGGCTAAATGCGAAAATGCTGCTTTTACGATGTGTGGAAGCGTGGGACACGTTTTGTTTTGCGCTTGGATATTTTTTTTTTATTTCTATACACACGGAGGACGCACGCACACACAGACACACAAATAGATACAGGAACGCGCACAGGATAATGTTATGTTACAAGCGCGTAAATTATACAAATAAAGGATAATAAAGGATGACACAACATAGAGCGACGACACATATACGGTTAGAATAGACAACAACGAGACGACAATTACGACAACAACGACACCGATGACTATAAAAACCGATTGTTTACATATATACAAATCAACCGAATAATAATGGTTAACACGAATACCGTCAGCTATCCTTAGGCCTTGTTGCTGTTCAATATGACCGGAAAAATATCAAATCTACCGATAAATGTTTTTGTATTTTAAGTTGCAATTAAGTTTTCCCGAATTAGTCCCACTCTGTTACTCGCACAATTAAGTTTGTCTTTTGATTAGTATATTTAGCGGACATCTTCTTGATCCATGATGCTAGAGATATTGGGATTCACATTTTTTGCGACAAATTTCACTTGTTTCCAGACATTTTGGGTTTGGTTTTCAATTTTATTCATTTAACGCATTTTTTCTACGTGCGGAAACTGCAATGAAAGGAAAATATTAAAATAAGTATCATATGTTAGGAAAAAGTTGGGATAAAATCTAAATTGTAACACAAAATGGGAGACAGCCAGTCTCCAGGTTCTAGAGCAAACTCAAATTTCAATTTCAAGTTTGAGCAAAATTTGTTCAAAATGGAGCAGATTCCGGGCATTTTTTTTTTAGTTTTCGTCATATCGTTGTTGTAGATCACTCCCTCCCCCTCTTCAACAAAAAAAACAAGCTTATTTTCCTCATTTCCAAGTAATAAGATCGTCGGACCAAAACCGAAGGTTATAGTTTCGAGAGTCGGTATCAACAAACGAAGGAAGAAAAAAGGACAATGAGTTGATGTAGATGTGAGATTTTAAATGTTCGTAACGACAGCACAGTGTTTTTAACTGCAAAAAGGTTGAGAATTAAAATACCGTGCACAGAAAATTACTATTTTAAGTAGCTACGAAAAAATTTGTCAAAACTTGGTTAGGGTGCTCATTATTATTTTTTTCCGGCCTGTAGTGTTTCGTCATCAATTTCTTTCAAAGGAAGTATGAATGAAAATGAGAAATGATTGGGAAAGAATTCGTCTCTACACAACACTTGAATAAATAGTACTTTCTAAAGATTTTACTGACCTAAAACAATGCATTTAAACAGAACTTTTTTCGATAAATAATTTAAATACCTTCCTTAGAAGCACTCAAGCTTTGGACCTACCCGAAATCTATGCGTTCCTTGTACATGCGGTCATAACCCGCATATATAGGGTGAGATGAAAAAACTACAACCAACTTCAGACTGCTATCATTTCTAAGCCACTCGCCCGACGGCTGTTAAAATTATTCCAATGACAACTCATTATATTGTTTACAAGCGTACAAAAGCATTATCTGCAGAATTGGTTCGAAACGTAAAGAAGCGACTTGATCGAAACCGGCGTCGCAGTGGCCGAAAAATGGCTCGTGAAAAATGAGCTCGGGTTAAAGCCATTGAAATTCCAAAAAGTGCAAGAACTTACACCGTAACAGAAAGAAAATAGTCTGAAAAGAGCTAAAGAGTTGCTTCGCTTGGCCGAAAGAGGTGAACTGCCGAAATTGCATCTTCGGTTGGCCACCAGAACTCAAGCGTCGCCCATGGTGATGGCATGGGCCGCCACAACAGCCAATGGTTGCTCTCCGCTCGTATTAATCGACCGTGGCATCAGTATAAATACCGAATATTATCGTGAAAATATTCAAGAGGGTGTATTAAAGCCTTGGGCACGCAAACATTTTGGCCGCAGACCTTGGACATTCTAACCGGACTCAGCACCATCGCTCTCACCACGGGCCAACCAAGAATGGTTACAAAATGAGGTGAGAAATGTTGAGGTTGGCACTAAAAAATACCACAGTATCGATCACCTCAGGCAGCGCATTGCCGCGAATGGGCCAAAATGCCGCAGAGCAAGATTCGGGCAGCGTGTGACGGTTTTATTGGCCGTTCGAAGGCCATAACTCGTGACATAGGTGACCAATTCAAACAAATCTAAACTTATTCTAAAATTTGATGCTATTTCCGGCATTTTTGGCTTTCATTCAATAAAATTAAAAAAAAATGTAAAAATTATGGCGTTTGACTTTGTTGCATTTTTGATCTCTCCCTGTATGTAGATATAATCCTATTTTTGAAAGCTTTTGTTGTAGACGTTCCATCTTAACACAGTATTAAAGATTCGCAAGCAAAATCAATAATTTAAGAAATATTGAAAATAAATTCCCATAGATACATTACTGCTTTTTACATTACTACATTACTGTTTTTTGTTTGCTATGAACTCCAAAACAGTTTTGATGAAAGGCATCCAACTATTAAATATAGAAAGGTCAGGTTTTAGCGCTGTTCCCTGTAACCTTTAAAACCCAGTATAATGCCATTACCACTTTCAACTGCCCAATTACAAAGAGTTCCATTAAAAACAGTGGCTGAAATCATCAAAATACTGAACTGCACGAGATGTTATTACATAGGGGCTATAGGAACATGTGGACCAATATAGATAGCTTTCTACCAGACGAATTATTGTCCACAACGAGCTTGAATGCTAAATTGAAAAAATTGTGTTGAAAATTCTGGCTAAAACGCAGAATATCGGACGGTACAGTAGTATGGAGGCTCGTTTACCTACGTAGCCAATTTTCTGTCAGTGGGATTAGTAGCTATTTTGAACTGCGCATATCGAATTCCGCACAATTTTATTGGAAAGTCCGGATGAAGTCATTAGGTTGGTGTGTATTTCAGACTTTACATGTCGAATGCCAAGAAAAGGAATTTGTTTTTATCAGGAACTGCAAGTAGCGTGTTTACGAGAACTTCATTTGACAACCTGACTAAAATTATCAACATTCCGAATGGCAGGAATCACTGTCATGCTCGAGCTGTTTTTTATTTCCTTCAGATATGTTAGCCCTATCACAGAAATAATATCTATTACATTAAAAACGTGTTGTTTATTTATTTCTTAGCTTCATAGACCTCTAATGGATTATCACTTGGAATCCTTGAACAAAACTTATTAATATCCCCTGTAAACTCTTCCGAAAATGTGATTATTCTTGAAGTTACAACAAACGAGACAACAAGGGCATCAATGTTTATTATGACAACGAAACACGGGACATACATATATACCCATATATTCTGCGTTTCCAATAACAAGAAGAAAGCACAAATAATTTCTAAAAAGGATAATAGTGAAACAAATACAAGAGATACCTTATTACACTGTTATTCCTCCTTTCACTGTCCTTTATTGTTAATGTAATTTTCTATCATAGAGGATAAAGAAAATACAAAACAGAAAATATGACTTACAAAAAATATACCACATAAAAGTCAACATGGCACTCACAAGAGAAATCTTGCATATGAGAGTAAAATATGAAAAGGTAAACACGATACTGGAAGAGAGAAACTGCTTCTTTAAACATAACCTCACAAAACATTTTAAGCAAAAGCCAAATATTGAAACATTACCACTTGTACTCCCAGAGAAAAAGAGAATAACAATTTTAAGGGTAACAGAGATAAACACAAAACATAAACATGTGTTCTGCGACACAAAAATTGGCTCATTGAGAGAAAAAGAGAGTAAATCCCCAAGGAAAATTACAATTGTCAGTTGGTGATATGAACAAGATTCATGCTCAACACATAATGGGAGAACATGGCACAAATCAACCAAGAAATTCAACTAAAAACAAAGCTCTCTTCCCTGTCTGTATTAAAAACCATTGTAATTTCACCACGGAGTCCGAAAACATAACAAACATTTGGATTCAAATCGCACATATAAGCGGCTTTCTCCCGAAGTATGCTGTGATAGAGAAAGAGAGCGAGAGTAAGACAACCACAAATGCTTTTGAGTTCTTCTACCATGTCAGATACAATTGGCAAAAAATGAAACCGCAGGATTTTAACCTCAAAAATTCCTTCTAATCAATGAAATATGAATGAAATCAATGTTGTTGGATTCCTTAAAAGGAATGTACGGATAGCAACACCACCAAGAACAACAGAATAGGAAGAAAGCAAAACTTAATGTAGAAAGGAATGGCTGGGAATTTCCCAAGCAAGACAACACTAAGTTATGATAGAAAAATCTAAAATGGAATGTTGAAATGTGTTGAATCGAAATTGTTTTTCGTTTTACTTTCTTAAATTTCCATATCGCGTTAAATTTAAAATATATTTTTTTCAAATTATGAAGCCTTTAAATTGTTATATTTATCGAAGTGCAAAACACAGTAGGTTTTTAATTGTTAAAAAAAAAAAAAAACTTTAAAATATTTTAAAAGATCATTATACAACTTTCATTGATATATAAGGTAGGTAAATCCAAAATTGGGTCCCTAAAATAAAGATACTATACAACAAATTCAATTCAATAAGCAGAACGATCTTCCTCGTTCTTTTCCTTAAAAAGGGATTAGTTCCTCTTTCGTCTAGTTCATACGTTCCAATTAGTTCAATGCGTTAGTTTCCTTTTGTTTAATCGTTATTTTAATCGTCACAAACATATTCCATTCCATTGTCATGTAATAAATAATAATCGCAATTTATAAAACGTTTGTAAACTACTATATATCTGAAGTGTTATGTTAATATCTTCAATATTGCCTTCAAATAAAAGAAACACAAAAAATGTGTTTCTTTCAGAAAATATAAGAGAGCAGATAACAAAAGAACTAGATAAACTATAGTTCGATCTAAAGCATTAACCTCACAGGAACTGCCACAAAAGGGATATTTTATTATTATTACACTGTGAGACAAAATTACATTTTTTTCAATAACACCGTGCAACACGAAAAAATATTACCGCGAAAATACAGCAGATTATGAAAGTAGAGCTTAAAACCAAAAGACATGTGTATCGACGTTTTCAAAGTTACATCGAAAAGTAATCAAAATGAAGGAGGCAAATTCCCCCTCTTCCACAATTTTGGATTTTTTTGCATTCGGATTCCATGGATTTAGGTATTAAGAGCCTTCGGCAATATTGCAATATTGGTAAAAATACCAGCAAGAGGAAAATTGCAACCCACAAGCGAGTAAACAAAGGGGTCTTTTGGCCCTTTTTAAAAAATTGAATTGAAAACTTTATATAAACGGCATTATAGCGAGTCAAAGTATTCTACAAAATTATTTGCTTTAAAATTCTATTATAGGTCTTGGAAGAAGTCAAGAATCGAAATCTTACCTAAACGCCAATCAATGTTCTCAAAAACACCCGAAAATATTCCCTAATTTTTTGATCATTTTGTCCTCGGACTTTTTTCGAGTTGTCTCCTGAATGTAACATAAAAGTTATATTAAAATTGAAAATTATGTATTTGTTTTTTTTTTTCTCTTTAAATTTAACACGTATCCAATTCCAATTAAAAACTCCCTTTATACTCAAGTTTTTAGGGAAAGTGTTAAAGTAAGAATTATTCTAGATCAAATTTCTTTTTGAGTCTCT